TAAAAATTATATGGGATTATAAGTTTTTCAAAAATAACAGTTAATTCAAATTTCAAATATCGAAAGAAAACATTTGGTATAGGTATTGATATTATCAAAAAAAAAGATTATTAGGAATAATTATTTTAAGCTTTAATTGTTGAAATGGAGTACAGTGTAAATATTTTATTTTTCTTTAGATAGATTCTTTATTTTCTTTAATTGACATATATCACGTTAACAATTTTGCCTAATAAACTGTCTGATTATATGACATATTTATACGAACGTTTTTAAATAACTTATCACTTTTTTTATTTAAAATCAATAATTTGGTATGCTGTTATAAATCTAACGTTTAAGTTGATGTAGTTTTTAAAACAAAAAAATAAAAAAAAAATACTGAGCATATAGAGTTATTTGAATCGTGTAAAAATTTGATACAATATTTGAAAAATCGAAAAAAAAAATTGAATATTATTTGTGGGTTAGGTTATTATTTAAAACAAAAACCACCCATTTTAATGGTAAATAATGAAAAATAATTAAGAGCTATAACCGAATAATGCTAATGAACAAAAAACTATATTATATGTGCAATAATACCATCAAAATTATTGCTATACGTTGTATACTCATACAAATAAAAGTTTAATAAATCTTTGAAATTTATAAAGCTGTCAAATGAAGTTGGATTTTTTTTAAGTTATACTGTTGGGGCAAGTTGCATAGTGGCTCTGTCAAATGTATAGTATTACTGCATTTACGAGCAGAAAGATTGTATTGTATGTAATGTTACTTTTTATTTTGGTTACACCGTTTTTTACTTAACACCAGCTATTTTCATTTATATTGCAGGAAACGTGGGTTTCGCGACCACAATCATATAAAATACTATATAAACCGTTTTTTTTTTTTGTTGTATCTATGTCATTTACATAATATCATTAACATTATGTCAAATTAAATCATAAAAACCAATACTATTTGGAATTGCTACTTACATTAATTATTAATGATATCTAAAAGGATAATTTTATTTCATTTCAACTACGAACGTAATTTAAATAAATTAATTTTAAGGTAGTTAATTATTATTGAACGTATAAATACTTAAATGTGAAAATCAAGTTATAATTTTACTATTTGACTATCGAGTAAAACTTATTACAAATTTAAACTATTTGTTTTAACTTTTGTTCTATAAACAACCAAGATCTTAAAATTACTAAGTTTTCAATTGAGTACTGTTCAGTTATCTCATTAATTTATTATAACTTTGAAACTTTTTAAAATATCGAAATCGCTCTATGCGAGGTTAATAATTGAGTTAAAAATGAATAATGTTTTTAGTATTTTATAGATTCCATTTGATATCTAAAAACAATTGTTACAGTTGATTTTGAAAACGGAAATGAAGGACACAAATAATATAGAAATAAGAAATATATTTTAGGCTTCGGGGAAATAATAGTTTTGGTTTTGTGCCTTGCACTTCGTATTCGCGAAATCTAAACGACACCAAAAATATTGTTTTTCACGAAAGCAACTTCCAGATTCTATTGAAGAAAATTGTCTTTTGTTTCCGAATAAGTTTTCGAAAAGATAAACAATATTTATAACGAACACGATATTCTTTATTGAACCACTCCGAGGCAATAGTTTTTGAAATATACGGTACAACTTTAAATTCAATTGCGAGTAATATTGGCTCCAGTTATGAAAGCCGATTAGATAATTAACATACAAGCGAGTACGTACTAGTTATTCCGTTAATTAAATTTAAATGATTATTTTCACTTGACAACGCTAAAAAGTATTTTTATTTTTTCTTAACCACTACATTAACGTATTAGTATATTATAAGTATATTTATATGGAAATTTAAGATATTTTATTTTAAAACAAGAACCCAGGGGTATTGATCATAATAATAATACTTTTTTTATTTGTCAATAAATAAAAATATAATAATATCATTTAAAATATTATTGTTAATTTAATGTTTAGTTTTGAACAGTGTATATAATTATAGTGGATCCAATATTGGAATTCATATCGGTTTCGAATCAATAATTTACCTTTGCTGAACACTATGTAAAATAAATTAACCAGTAGTTTTATTTTTTTGCTTTTTGTTTTAGATTTTTTAATATTTATAATTTAAAATACTTCTTTTGTCTTTGTTAACTATACATTTTTTTGACGTTTCTACAAAAAAATTGAGGTAATACTTTTAGGTTTGAATTTTCAGTTTATTTAGAACTATTTTACTTTAGTTTAAATGATTTTATTTGAGCTTTAAAGGTGAAAAATAAACTTAACTTTTGATATAACCAATTTGACGTCGAAGAAAAGGCGCGCCCTATTTTATTATTATTATTAATATTCATCGGAATGGGTTGCAAGACCGATCAACTGTGTTATGCATAATTACTTCGACGTCGACGTAGTGGTAGCGGAGGCATGTGTGTGTATCGTTCAACCATACATATTATATCGTTATTATGCGTTGACTTGTTAGGGGTAAGGAAAACAAAGTTCACGCAACTGCAGATAACCGCGTGCATCAAACATAGAAGTGACACGCAAGAGGTAACTGTGAACATTGGGGTATTTACAGGGATTGGATATGAGATATTGAGGGCCATGGGAGTGATAAATCCCCCCTTGACCTTTTTTTTTTTTATTTAAAAAAAGTACTATGATTTTAACGAGACAATCGAATACAAGAAATAGGTTGGTAAAAATGCAACGTTTTAACGCTTAACGTTTATAAAGATTTGGTTACAGATTTCTTATGCCACATACGAGTATAATGCTTTATTAGTCCCTAATATTTGTTTAAAAAAATGAGTTTAATCAGTTTTTTCTTCTTCTTCACGTCTTCAGTTGTTTGACTGATTTTCTGCAGTTCTCCATGCTTCTAATCAGTTTATGTATGTAATAATAATATTAATTGTAATATTTTTCTGAAATATGACGATGAGTGATGGTAAGGGGGTGATGTCCTCTTCAGTTTAATGAAATATTGTCCAATATTTATCCCTTTTGAAAAAATCCTAAATAACGTTACTGACTGTGAAGTGCCAAAATGGTAAACTGTAATCAATCAACGGCCGAAATGTTCACTTATATTAAATATATATATATATATATATATATATATTACTTACTATACATAGAAATATATAATAGGTAGAGAAATTTATTGTAATTATAACTTCTATAATTTAATAATTTATTCGGTAGTGAAAAAAAAAATCGTATTACCTCTGCACGTATCATCAGAGTAATTCCTCAGCCTGAATATACATGTACAAATAAAATTAATAATAAAAATGTTTTAACTGTTAAATTCAATATATATATATACTTTTTTATATAGAAGTTCTAAAAATATTAAAATTAATAATAATAATGTATATGTGTGCAAAATGTAAAATGTTGATACCTTAGAGACTATTTTTTTAATAAAATTGACACCTCATTAGACAGGTACGTGTTTATTTTTTAAATGTATTAGGAAATATTGAAAAACTTTTTATCTCTTACATTTGAAATATAAATATGGTTTCACTTGATGGAGTATATATGACGTATATTATACGTACATCATCATTTGGTATCGATTTCTATGATGATCATTATCAAATGCTGAATGAAAATAGTATCTTTATTAATAGTTATTAGAAATGAAAAATATCTAGGTATCCATATTTAAATTCATGTAAAATGTTAACTATCTAAATATATAATGATCTAGAAATTTTTTAATTGCTATTTTTCGTAAGTGTGTAATAATTGAAAACGTATTCTGCGTAGGTATTATATTTTCCGCATCTTACTCTGAATCCAAAAAAGTAAAACGAGATGTGATTAAACTATAAATTACAACATTTGATGATTGGTGTAATTTGAAATTTACAAATAAATAAATTAAAACACCAATAATCTGATAGATATATATATATATAAAGTAAAGAATACAATAGTATTAATGATTTTTAAATTGTTTCAAGAGTTCGACTCCGTTATGTATATAATAATTCTTTACATATATTTTTTTTCAGAATATTTTATATTTTTATTTTGTGAAGAATATTGCAAATATATATTATAATAATACGCTCGGTAAACCGAAATTTGTTTGAAATAGTTAAGAGGATGTGTTATACCAGTAATTTAAATGTAAAATATGTTTTCCGCGAAAATGTAATTCAGTAAAAATTCATAGTAGAGTATCGACACTTGTTTTTTTATTTTTTTTTTTTAAGAGAAGAACATTATCCATGATGTAGAGTTTTTATTTTTTTCCCTAACGAAAATGGATTCGAAGTTATTTATATGTAAACATTTCTTAAAATGTTAAGTGCTTTGTTTAGGTATAAAAAAATCATTGAAAATAAGTAAAAACGTTAAATCATATTTATTTATCTTGTTAATAATAATAATAAAGCATCATCTATGAGTTGACACTGAATGGGTTTTCATCGAGAACTCGTAAGTAAACGATTTTTTTATTCTTAGATCCACGATCACTCGTATATATGTGTTCGTAGTCTGAACTTCGTACCGTATCGTCGTCGATCCGCGGAATGTTAAGCTCGGGACAAACTTCGGGTGTCACCCGGATACGAAGACCAACTCAGGTTATAAACTATCTACACACACGTTTCGTTTGCCTTCAGTCGTAGTACATTTTAAGTGGATCGTTTTAAAATCGGGTATCGCTTCGTCGTTGCAATCGAAATGACGTGCGTCGCAGAGAGAGCACGTACTTATTGCTCTTCGTATGTTTCGCAGCGGTGTTCGGAATATGTTTGTCCGCCGTCCGGTCTCATGCAAACACGGGCGATGCGCTTCCGAGGGCCGGCTGTAGAGGGACCGACGCGTGGCCGTATACCTACACGTACCTACGCCGACGGCGACGGGCGCGCGGCGTGTCGTCACAGGGTGGCGCAGGGGACCGGCGCAACGCGAGCCGAACAGTGTCGTGCCGCCGCCGGCCCACCCGCGTTTCGCGCCGCCGACTCGAAAAACAGTGTGCTGCAGAATGTTTCACGTACGGTCGTACGTCCTCTGGTCTCGATTCGATCCGCTTTCGTGATTCAGCCGCATGGCCGTACGCATCGCCGTCGTCGCCCCCGAAAAGGTAACGTATGAAACACCGTATGTGTAATATAAGGGTAGATATTATTTCGCGTCGTCGCGCAACACCGACGTGGCGATTTTGCGGTTACGTGGGGTGCAGGACATTTGTTAAAGGGGAGGGCCATGAAATTTTCTTTTGAATTCGTAAGACAATTGTTGTCGAAAACGTTTCGTCGTCGATTATCGATTCAACGGATCGACGTACGAACGTCGGAAAACGTGTTCGTAGGACGTCGATTCGTTTGCAACTCGTTCGCACCGTTTACCGATTCGTCTTAACACGTGTCCAAGGGACGGATAAGATTTTTGTCCCCTTCGGTACGGCCTTCGGTGAATGCAGTTGCGACTGGCCTTCTCAAGATACGAATCCGACACGAAGTGCATTGCATAATACATTGATATAAAGTCGTTTAGTGCAGCATGTCGCGCACGATATTCACGCGAATAGTATCTATTTGTAACAATTTCATTGTTATTCTAACCGCATAATAAATAGTCTGTGATTGTACCATAAAATGTATTTCATATCCGGTGTGCACGTGTTTTCTGCAATATGTACGTGTTGGCGTTTGGGACCGATTGCACGTTCCATATTTTTAAAACGTATTTTGTCAGTTTTGCATACGAACGTCGAATCGTGTACCAGTGGCGAAATCAAGAAGAGGGGGTCTTCGGGTCCAGACCCACTTCCCTTGTCATATATTTCTAAGATAATATAAATGCTTCATAAAATTGAATAATCGATTCGAAGATTGATTTAAAAAATTCCGAAAATGTAACACCTGAGGAAGTATTACAACATTTAAGCTATACAAAACATTGGTTAGATTTAAATTTATAAATTTATACATACCTTTTACATTTATTTTTTATATAATACATTTAATTATCGTTCAATTTAAATAATTTAAATTTAATTTAATTTAATTTAATTTAACTTAATTATTATGTTAACAATATTTACATTAATCAAACAATAAAATAATAAATTTGCTAATTACTTTAAAATTATATTTTTTGACCCATCCCCCCTAAAAAATCCTGGTTGCGCCAATTTCGTGTACGCGTTACCGAGGACACTGGATATTTGTATCGGAAAAAATTAATATTTTAATAACAGTCCAAATGCTTTGATCTGTTCTAAATTATTATTCTAATGTGTAATAACGTTTCTCGCGGCGTATTCGTATAATAATACTATTTCTATAGCCATAATAAATTTCGTTTGGTCAAACGACATTATTGTGCACGTCAAAAAGGAACATTTCTCCAAGGACAATGTTTTCAACGTGTTTTTCGTACGTAAATATTACAGATGCGTAATGATAACGGACTACAGTTGTAATTGTCGTTTGTGTATACGTAAATCGGTGTTGTCATATTTAATTATTATTATCGTGCCAGGGGTATTATGCTATATAACGATAACGATAATAATAGCAATACGAAGGTACAACCCGATCCCGCAATACATATAGCTCCTAACCACCTTCGCCACCTGTTTGCCTTTCCACTCTCTTTGGTGGACACCATCATCGATGTTCATCATCCCTTATCTACCACGTTTTTTTTCGTGAAAATCTCACTACACGTGCGTTTTTTCTTCGTCATTATGCAACAAGGTTGATTGTTATACGCCATACGCGGCGAGTGTATGTCATGCAGCAGAGCATTGTAGCTAAAACATGAAATCATAGTGTTTATATTATTCACTACAAAATATTTTAAACGGTGAAATCCGTCCAAGGCGGAATCACAAGGGAACGTTTCCCGATCAAACCGATTTTCCGTTTCATGTGCCATAGATTCTGGTCTCAGGTTGATTTCAGACAATAATTAAATGTTTAAACCGTCATGGAAATATTCATCGGAACGACGTTATCATAAATTTTTCCCAGTTTCTAACAGCGTTAGTATTACGTATGCAACATTGTATAAAATTAATCTTGCAAAGTCACAAAATCGACTGCTCCGTTGAGAATAATTTACATGTTTTACGTTCTGCTACGCAAAAGTTGTGCGTAAGAATTGAACACGTGCTGTTTAAAAAACATGGGATATACGTTGTATTTACGATCTATAGATTTTTTCGCGTAACTAGGTCAATTATTCCTTTTCCCGAAACATTCGCTATTTGTTACTTCGCGTATGCTCATCACTTACGCGTTAATATGCAAATACTCACTCGCCCGACTTTTCACCAATTCTTTCCGCAGCCTACGACTTAATACGTCTCGTTAAATCCTACAACCATGCCCTATTTTCTCGATGTCTTGTAAATTACAATGGTTGGTTGATTTTTATCTCGACGAGAGCTTACTAGGTTTAGCCGATTGGCACCTGCTATACGTTATTGTTTTGATAAGTTACTTTCAGCGTGTTGTTTTCAACGGCTTCGACAAAACGAATAATAATATTTCATTTTTCCCTTGTCTATTGAAAATTTCGTGTTTAGATAAAATCAACTTACAGCGATAAACTACTTACTCGTTAGTCAATCTCATTTTTTTTTTCATTAGTACAAAAAGCTGTCAAAATTCAACGACTTATATGGTGATTATGGAACGCGTTAAATACTGATACGAAAAGTCATCTAAGTATAAACAATTTCGCGATCTAAATCGGATTTTTCGACTTATATTAATATTCACGTATTTAGTGAACAATACAAGTGGTTGAAAAATTATTGTTGTGTCAACAAGGAAAATTCAACATCATATTTTATCCACTGATTTCAAAAAAATATTATTTTTTCGATATATTGAAGTGTACTTTATAGTGATGTTCTTTAATAATTTACCTGTAGTTTTATACTATATATATAACCACTTTTCTATAGTTAATTAAGAAGCATGATGAAAAAAAAAGACCAAATCCTGTTCATTTTTTATACTAAAAATAATGTTGGCTTTAATATTTTACTAAATGATACGTAGAAAAACCAAAAATTAATAACTATAGGAAACACCTGTACACATAATACAACATGCTGTGCCATATACATTTATAACTCCTGAATTACAAATAACTACCCAAACCATAATATTAATCGAAGCTTATTTCAAATAATTTTAACCCCTCTTACAGTTAAAATTGTACTTAAAAATTAATTATTTTCTGTCGGTTTCTTTTTTTTTTTATATCCATAAACAAAATATTTATTTACAACTTAAACACTAGATTACTTAAAAAATAAATAATGTAATTAAAAAACATAAACATTATAATAAATGTCATTAAATTATTTCCAAATTATATATATATATATATATGTTACGGGCAAAAGCCGAAATCGGATAAACCTCAGAAATGCCCGGGTAAAACGCGAACTGCACACAATCCTTGAGCAAAATGTCATATTTCGGCTTTTGATCGGGCAAACCTAGTTATGACCAACCTCATTTGGGCAAAACTGCCAAAAATGTATACTGATTTTTATCGTAAGGGCAAAACCGTAGAGTCTTAAATATGTTTGCTAATATTAAATACGATTTTATTACGATTATAGATGACCATGCATATCTTGTTAATTTATCGCTGTTATTGTATTTTTTCAACTCGTTATATTAAAGGTACACAAAATACATCTTATCAAAATGGGGTTTAAATGTATTATTGTTTTTAATTATTTATTTTAACATTATAAGAGTACTTAATATTATTATATGTTTATTTTTATACAAACACTTAATATCATTATATTTTTATTATTATTTAAGTGTATTAAATTATATCTAAACAATATTTTATGATTATTATTTTTTTTTGTATTTGATATTAGTGAAGTTATTTAAAACGCTACAGTTTAGTCCAAGTGAGGTTTAAATGTATTAATTAAGTTTATTCAATTATATTTGTACAGTAATATTTATTTTATAATTATTTGTATTTAATATTAGCGAACGTATTTAAAACTACGGTTTTACCCTTACGATAAAAGTCAGTATACGGTTTTGGCAGTTTTACCCAAATGAGGTCAGTCATAACTAGGTTTGCCCGGTCAAAAGCCGAAATATGACATTTTGCCCAAGGATTTGGGCAGTTCGTGTTTTACCCAGGCATTTCTGAGGTTTGCCCGATTTCGACTTTTGCCCGTAACATATATATATATATATATATATATATATATATATTAACACAATGCAATATAAAGCAAAAGTTATGAAAGAAAGTTAAGGACATGGTAATTATAGACAATTTATTGTTTTTGTTAACTTAAATTATGAATAAAGATGTTTGACAGTTTTTAAAAACATATTATAGTAATTATACAAAAATACATCTAAGAGAAAAAAAAAATTAACTACGTTTATAAGCATCTATCTACATTTATATACTTAAATGAAAGATAAAAATATTTGAAATAAAACTGAAAGTAGTATTATTATTTTGAAAATAATGCACTGAGATTTAAATGACAGCAAACAAATTGATTCATTTATACTACATCTAAAAACGAAAAGAACCAACACTTAAACAGACATTCGCATATAACATAAGCCGAAGACAGAATAATAATCATAAAATATGTATTACTTACAAATACATGTACCATTAATAATAACATTAAGTCATATAAAAAGAATATCGTAAAGATGATGTTGACATATTTTATTTCATATATGAATCACTAGAATATTATGGTGGAAGCAGAAGAATAATCCGTGCATTATAGAGAAAAATAGCAACAGGAAAATATAATATGCAAAAAGTCTGAAGACATATTTCAATAACTTGTGAAATAAACGTAGGTATAGTTTAAACGTGTTTTCTGTTTCAAAACTTTTGACATTAAAAAAAAAAAAAAAAAAAAAAAAAAAGGTAAGAAACGTGTATGTGTATTTTTATATAATTTAATTATAGTTTATGTTTTATCGTAATTGTAATTTAATTTATTATGTTTCGATAACGGAATGGAGTATAAAAAGATAGAAGGAGCAAGTGAGTTCGAGTGAGAGGTGAGGGTGGTTGATGTGTGTGAAATGTGAGCTGTTGTATAAA